GGAAGACCGTCCTATGTACTCATCTTGGAACAGGTCTTATTTAAAGCAATCAGAAAAATGTTTACAAGTTAAAAGGAAAACCACTTGTTACAAAATGTAATAGAACATATTCAATTGGAATGCAAGCCATTTTGTTTGTTAAATGTTATTAAAAATCAGCTTTCCATTTCACTCTGCAGCTGCAATAAATGATCAAAGCTGTAAAAGTTTTTATGCAACAGGGCAACCTGGAGGAATTCTGCACATAGTTGTCTATGGAATGACTTCAGAAATGTAATTTCTTGGTTTTGGGATTGGATGAGATACTCCGCAAGGCTTGTCAACTAAAGAGATGCTGACATTGCAGCTTTCCCCATTAGAACACAGAGTTTTGGTCATGTGGTAATAATGAGTGCAGATCCTCCCATTCAGGAGCAAGCCTGGTAAACCAGCAACTCAATTAGAACAGAAAAAAGGAAAGGAATCAGCAACAAAGTTTGTTACAATTCCTGCAATGTACAGAGATCACCCAGAAGGGATTGTTTGTTCTAAACAGGAAATCTTGGCTTGTTTAAGTAAATTGTTAACGGTTCCTCTTTGTTATTCTCCTTGATGATAGGGGTCAGTAACACTTTACAAACTATCCTAGTGCATTACTACCGTATTCTACTGTAAGCATTCATTTCTAAGATTTTTGAAATCAGCAAGTACTTTCTGCTTGCATCTGAATGGTGTAGTAATAGACAGGACAGAAATCAGCATGCCATCCATACCTCGAACACAAATCCAAGCCTATTGTGTTTATTAACAGATTAGATCCTAGCAAACACGGCTAATAAAATGTCATACAAACTTGTGTAAATAATGAAAATGTTTCAGTGTTTGGGTCACAAATCTTTTCTACAAATCATTTATAGTGCCAAAAGAGAAATGCCATACCTTTCTTACTACGCTGAAGGATTTCATTAGCTTCTTTAAGGGTGACTCCAGCAGGAGCAACAACAAGTTCATCTCTCTTGGTCATTACCTGCAATATACCATTTATTATAGTGGAGCTATAGTGTAATTCAGTGAGCACATTTCAATTTTAATGGTTTATCCCACAAGAAACTGGATTCTGAACACACCAATAGCCTGGCCGTTTCTAGCCTCAGTACTTTAAATTAAAGCCTTGCAATGAGTAGGCAGATCAGGAGACCTTGAGTAAAGTCTGAATTCCTCATTTGCAAACTTCTTTCGAGATAGCAGTTCAAAGTACTGAAACAAGGAGGTCAGAAAAAAAAAAAAAACAGCTAGGGAACTCACATTTAGAAGGGAGTGAAAACCTCCATTAAATGGTCTCTAAACTTTTGAAAGTGGAATTACCTTTACTGTACCATACTACTGTCAATTACATGTGCACATTTTTAGTTTCTTCCCTCTGGAAAAATTTTAGTCCCATAAAAACACCACTATCCAAAAAAAAAAAAAAAGGGCAATGATCATATTCAGCATATTGGTTACTTTGCACTTTCTTTTCATATTTACTTGCAGACCGAGCTGTCCAGCAAAAGTGAAAATGACAGGGTTTAAAGACAAACTATAACACTGCCAGGGGTGCTTCAGTAATTGTAGCAATAGATTACCAATATATACGTTACTGATGTAAATACCTCTGGCAATGTTCCAGTTTGTCCCAACCTTGCTTACCTAGTCCACGCTAAAACTACTATGTTTTGACAGGACTGTACAGAAAACAAAAGTGGGCTCAAAAAGAATTACATTTAAGCAGGCTGGTAATAAATCACCATGCACCCAACTTTCTTTTATTTACTTACAAGCTATTTACCTCTTTTGTTACAAGCATAAGTGACAGGGATACTTTAAGACTATCAAAATCATATGCATTATAAACATTTTCAGTACCTCCAACAGTGTTCTAGTTTATCCCAACCCCCGTCGCTAGGGCTGCAACAACTAAACTCAGTGGCGTAACAATCACCATAGCGACCCAGGCGGCCGCTATGGGGCCCGAGGCACGTCGGGGCCCGGCCAGGACATCTCCCTGATGCCATGCGGGCCGCCTGGGTCGCTATGGCATCTTGCTCGGACAGCCAGGCTGCTGGCTGTCACTGGTGGCTGTGAGGAGGAACACTCCGTTCCTTCTCACAGCCGCTGCTGAGTTGGTGACAACCAACAGCATCGCAGGAGGTGGCTGGGCCCGTCATCGGCAGTGATCGAGGAGACGGGGCCCGGCGATCGAGGGGGCGGGGCCCAGTGACGGAGGAGTCGATCGTGGAGGAGAAGGAGGCGGACAGAGGATCAGGGCTGACAGGCCCGAGACCATGCAAAGCCTACCATAGAGAGTCTATGGTGGGCTCTGCAGGGTCACCCTTAGGTGGGCTGTTTGGGTTATCAGGTGGGCGTAACTAGAAATCACTGGGCCCCATACTAAATTTTGCTATGGGGCCCTGTGATTTCTAGTTACGCCCCTGACTAAACTCGATGAAAATCGTTGTCAACGATTCCCATTATTAATTAGTTGATTGCGCTCCAGTGCAGTGCAAAAAATTGTGCATACCGTTTTATTCTGATGTAAACTTTATGTTTGTAACACTGCATTTGTGTATTTATTTTAAATAAAAGATTGTATTCATTTTTTTTAATCTGGATTTGAAGAAAAAAAAAAAAAAAAAAAAAAAAAAATCGGCCAATTAATAGATTATGAAAGTAATAGTTAGTTGCAGCCCTACCCATCACTGTTGCTGGACAGCCTTGGCCACCATGGGAAGAGAAAAAAAAAAATGATGAAAATAAACACATACTGTCAAAGTTTCGCTTAAATTTGGTGTCCTGAGCCTACTACACTGAAGCATTTTTTTATATAGTAATATTGACATCTCACAAATTCATACATTTACGAGTGATTTCTTTGGTGGTCATTTTATCAGAACTGTCCTGACCAACTGCAGCACCTCAAACAGTCATACATTAAGTACCTCGCTCAGATAAGTGGTGTAATCCTTCTCAGTCAAAAAGTCTATATCTCTGGAGGTGACGATGCCCACCAACTTGCTGCCCATTTTTCCTGTTTCCGTTACCGGAATGCCAGAAAAGCCATGTCGGGTTTTAGCTTCAAAAACATCACCCACAGTGTGCGAGGGGCTCATGACAACCGGGTCAGTAATAAAACCTTGCTCAAATTTCTGCAGAAAAAAAAAAGGAGGAAAGAAGACCATGTAAGTATTCTTGTGGGAGGATAAAGAAGCAAGCCAGTATGCATTTATTTTCATTTGCATCTACAACTGGGCAGTTTTTGAAGTATCAGATTCTTTAACTACATACAATGGCACCTGTCGGTGAAAAATAATCATTCCAATGAATTCCCATCATGAGAAAAGACTATAGGAACTGGAAAACCTTGTTAAAAAAAACCACAAAAAACAAACAAACAGAACTAAAAGTAAAAATTCTACACAACAATCATTTTCTATTATTGATTTATTCATCTCCTTTATCTCTAAAGCACTATATAAAACACTATATAAAACTGTGTCACCAACAAGGGTAAATACAGATATAAATTTATAAATAAAGCACATACAGCAGCATATTATTTTATATATCATATACAACAGTGTTTTTCAACCTTTTTTGTGCAAAGGCACACTTTTTTCATGAAAAAATTGGGTTTCTCACCAGGGTAGCAGATTTTGCCCTGTACACACATGCAATGACTCACCAGCCCAAGAGTGAGGAGGAGACTCAGCCCAAGTGATTCCGTCAGGTAACGAAGGGAAGGGGGAGGAGTAGGGCTGCAACAACTAATCGACATAATCGATTATAATCGATTATTGAAAAAGTTGTCAACTTTTTCAATAATCGATTAATCGTCTTCCGATCAGTTGGCCCTGTTCACGGCTCCCCACACGCTGCGCGCCGCACCTCTTCCCCACCTCACGCTCGCCGCTGCCAGACCCGCCCACATCCACGCTCTTCACGCCGCACCTCCTCCCCGCCTCACACTCACCGCCCGCCCACATCCACGATCGGCACAGGGACGCGGGGAGATGTAGTAAGGAGGAGCAGGTGTGGGGGGATGACAGCCGCCGATAGACAGGTCCGATCTCAGAAGCAAGTTGCTGGAAGACTGCTCAGGTAAGCCTGCACTTTCCCACACATGGTGCTCTATAATGTATTGCTGGGATTTGTATTCCTCTATAGCTGATGGTACATTGTGCTGTATATTATACATAGGAATGCAAATCCCAGCAATACATTATACACTGTATGTATAATGTATTGCTGGTATTTGTTGTACTCTTCTATAGCTGGTGATATTCTGCATTGCACAGTATAGAGGACTACAAATCCCAGCAATAATACATTATACAGTGGTGCAATGCAGAATACCACCAGCTATAGAGGACTACAAAACCCAGCAATAGTACATTATACAGCGCAATGCAGAATGCCTCCAGCTATTATGTACTATTGCTGGGATTTATTGTAGTCCTCTATAGCTGGTGGTATTCTGCATTCATTGCTGTATAATTTTACACTTTCCATTTCACTATATTGCACACCACACTATCTTTCTTTTTTACTTCCACCGCTCCAAGCTTGCTCCTGTGATGGACTAAAACCTCAATACAAGCTAGTAGTCCCATCACTGGAGCCTTTTTTTAAACTTTATTTTATTGTTTATCCGATTAACCGATTAATCGAACCTAATAATCGGCTAACTAATCGATTTTGAAAATAATCGTTAGCTGCAGCTCTAGGGAGGAGTCTATGTCCGTGACGTCACCGGACTCCTCCCTCCTTCCCTTCGTTACCCATCACGGACAACTACATCACCCGACTCCTCCCCCCTTCCCTTCGTAGCCGACAGAGCCACTCGGGGAAGGGGGGAGGAGTCCGGTGACGTCGATGTCCGTGACGTCACCGGATCTCCGACGGAAGACCCGGAAGCCGGCGGAGAGGGGAGTAACTTTGATCGATCAAAATAATTTTGATCGATCAAAGAAATTAACGATTTATTGACGGCACACCAGAAAACATCTCACGGCACACTAGTGTGCCGCGGCACAGTGGTTGAAAAACACTGATATACAAGACAGCATGGCAGGTATTAATTGCCCAGTACCAACTAGCTTTTATTAAATATGTTAAAAATAACTGAGGTTGGCAGCCTCTAAACCGTTAAAACGGACAGTTTGTAAAAAGGTGACTCTAGCAAGCAACTTTTAAGGCCCATTCACACCAGGGCTGTACATTAATTGTAGTGCATGCACTACTACAGTATTGCAGTTCTGTGCGCTGCAGTGCAGTCATTCGTACTGCAACACAGTTACATTGAGCAAAATGCACAGGTTTCAGGATAAAAAAGTAAATACCTATTAAGGAAAATATTACCTTCACTTTGCGGACTTCATTGGCTTGAAATTCTGGAGTACAATTGTGATGAATAATACCTATACCTCCCATTAGCTGCAATAAAGCAGAACATTCTATGGTAAGTGCAAAATCCTATACACATCAGAAATAAGTGTTCTATTGTATAAATTATTATTAATTAGTATATTATTAAAGGGCCCATAACAGGTTTATTTTCATGTCTCTTCTATATATAAGCGTTTGTCTTCTCTTAAGAGCTGTTTAAAAGGCAGGAGTATGATCCAAAACTGTTTAATAGGGCCACTGAACAACTTGGATGCCATGTACATGGGTGCTGCCATAGAAAACATGGATACATGGGAGTTAAGACATGTCCTATCCCTTCCATTCAGCAACACTTGTGTATATAGCCCATAGGGTTTACTGAATCTGGTTAGCAGCCACAAAGTTTCACACCATTTGCTTCAAAATGAAGTCTGAAGAAGCAGAATATTGGCTAGGCATCCAGATGGAAGTATACATTTAATGGCAGTTATTCAAGGTACTTCCTAAAGGCCTTGTTCACACCAGATGCAGTGCGTTCCGGCACGATTCTGGCCAGAACACACCTCATTGCGGCCGGCTCACTTTTTTGTGGGGCAGGAGGGGCGTGACGGGCCATTGAAGTGAATGGCACCATTGCCACGCCCTCTGGCCGCATGGGATCGCAAGGCACATTATGCCAGTGGTCCAGTGTGATCAAAATAGTGCTTGAATTTTAATCTCACCAGACGCATAATGTGCCTTGCGATCGCGTGTGGCCGATCGCAGTGCGGCTGGAGGGCGTGGCTACAGTGCCATTCACTTCAATTGCCCATCACGCCCCCTCCTGCCCCACAAAAAAGTGAGCCGTCCACAATGTGATGCAGTGTCTTCCGGACAGAATCGGACCGGAACGCACTGCATCTGGTGTGAACAAGGCCAAAAGCTTAAATCAAAAGCCCTAAACAAGAGGCACAATAAGATGCCAACCTTTACCTTTATTAAACAAGAGCCTGATATTGTGAACTCTTTGGATCAAATCCTTAATGAAGAGCGATTCCAGAAGAAAATAAAGCTGACCATACACTACACAGAGAATCACTGAATGGTGTACAACAGTTTGTACACAGACCCAGTGGTGTTCTGTCCAAATTGTAACTGCGCACATGCAATGGGTTATGTGTGGCTGATAGATGCGCTGGATCAAGGTTAGCAGCATCAATAAACTGGACAATAACTCTCTGACTAAATTGTCTGTTAGACAAGGGTCTGACAACTAAGAACACACAAAGTTGCACATTCTAAGTTCTCTGCTGCATGGTTAATTAATGTTCTCATGGCAAGAAGCATATTACATTGTAGGTAAAAAAGCATACTATGGTCACATTCCATGATGAAAAAATATCAAAATATGCTCCTGATTTTACTATACTATGCCACTTTATAGATCATTGGTTCGACCTCATCTGGAGTACGCGGTCCAGTTCTGGTCACCAGTACTAAGAAAAGATGTCCTTGAGTTGGAAAAAGTCCAGCGAAGGGCAACCAAACTAATTAGGGGTATGGAGGACCAGAGCTACGAGACGAGGCTACTAAATTTAAACATGTTCACATTAGAGGTGAGGAGATTAAGGGGGGGATATGATTTCCATGTACAAAATGTTTAATGGTGGTAGCAACATTAGCGATAAACTGTTTAAAATTAACTCCGTTACAAAAACTAGAGGCCATCACCTAAAATTGGTGGAAAAAAAATTCCAGCACAAGGGGCGAAGGGGGTTCTTCACAGTAAGATCAGTTAGGGTCTGGAACTCACTGCCACAGGCGGTGATTTCAGCAAATAATGTGGAATTGTTCAAGAAACTTTTGGATGATTTCTTAAGGGACCGTAATATACAGGGGTACAGGTACTCCTAGAATGAGATCCTAATAGGTTGGACTTGATGGACTAATGTCTTTATTCAACCTCAAATACTATGTAACTATGTATACACAATGATAAAATTGCCACATATTCTAATTTCCATAGTGCAAAGACGCGTCTTATATTTACCGCCATTGCAATGGCCATATCAGATTCGGTCACAGTGTCCATGGGGGAGGAGATTAAGGGTGTCTTCAAAGTTATTTTGCGAGTCAAGGCAGAAGTCAGATCCTAGAGGACACATCAAGGTAAACAAAAAGCAGATTACAGCACATTTCCCTATATTGACAAAAAATCCCCATAGCAGTGCAACAAGGAAAACATTTAACGCATCTCCACAGTATATCGATAGGGGACCATTTAGTGGAAACAAAATAAACAAAAATAAATTGCATGGTTATTCATTCAGTAATACTGCTTTTGGAATCAATTTATGCAAATTAACAAGCTGTTGAGAATGGGGCAAAATCAAGTGTTCTTAGAAAATATATCTTAGTAACAAAAGATACAATGTAAAAATTCTACAGAACGCTGAGGGGAATTAGAAGATAAATGTTACTATTGCAACTACAGGGATCTGTGTATACATTTCCTATGAACCTCAGCTCCATCTAGTGGCCATAATGCAGCATTTCCCCCGATTTACTCTTATGTCACCTTGAATTAACCCTTTTTTTTAAATTTTAAATACTTCTGTGGTCAATTTGAAGAACATTTGACCACAGAAAACAGCTCAAGGACATTTGATTTTCCTCTATTCTCACAACAACTGGTTATAGTTGCACAGAACGAATGCACAGGTGCATTTTTGTTTCTAATAAATAGACCCCACAGAGTGATTGAAAGAGTGAGAAGCTCTATGACACTGGTAAGTTTTGAAGTACAGCTAATCCGTTTCAACTTTGAACCTCTAAATGAATATTAAGCTGCTTTCCTGCAACATTTATAGGACATAAAATCTTAGGATTACATAATTAGGTAAAGTAACATTTCTGTTGGATCAGTGTGCATCCAGATTAGTACTACTATGTCATGGAGCAGCCACTCTGAATAATTACCTGCCATGTCAAAGCAAAGAGTAATTGAGAAATGAATAGTAACATGTTTTGGAGGCCTTACATGATGGAGATTGCATATAGGTTCCTTTGCCAGGTCTGCTCAGGGCAGACGTAACAGTGAACTACAGTGGTACAGTGTCACAATGTGCCGACGATTCATTCTGACAAAGTGATTTATAGTGAAGCAAAATGCTGCACTGAAAAATAGTTTGTACTGAGCCATTTTGGTAAATGCAACTATTTAACCTGGGCTTCAGAGATAGTAGCATGTGTGGCAACCCTTTTTGGCACCATTCTATGTGCTGCACCCAACATTTGGAATCCCCGCCCCCATAAAATCTCTGTACACTATGTTCTGCATGTTGTACAGACCATCAAGCACCAAAATAATCCATTAAGAAAAAAACATTATTTAAATCCACCACAAGGTGGTAGCACAACACAGAGAGAATCCAGCACATACAGACAGCTTTGCCAACGCAAAGAGCACCCCGAAAACATTTTATGGAAAGGGATGCAACTTCAGACCGGCTCTTATAATTATGTGACTTTTTCTCAACCCTGTTTTCTGCAGCTAGCCAAAATCACCTAACAATTTCTTAGGGCTCAGGAGTCACCGATTGTGGCCATAAAAGTGATTTACACTCCCCGGCTGGGTTTACTTATTACCCCAGGAGAGTGGAAGTATCAAACTCTAAAAGGAGCCCATTACAACCCGGCTGGTCTACTGCATTGTGTTTAATGTAAGAGTATCGTCGGGCACGCACCACAAGACAAGGGACCAAAAATTCATTTCAATGGCCCCCCAAACATGCCTCCCATCCACAGTATGATCGCCCGCACTGGAACGCCACAGTACCGCAAAGTAAACTTTATGTTTGTAACACTGCATTTGTGTATTTTATTTTAAAATGGATGGTAATTTAATTTTTATCTGATTAAATAGAATAAAATGGGCTAACTAATCAATTATTAAAATAATTAGTTGAAGCCCTATATACAGAAAAAAAAATTCATATTAAAAAACTGTATATATTTTAGATGTGCCAGCACATCAGTATGCTTTTTATGGAATGTATGTTACATCAACATACATTAGTATCAGCACTCTTTACATTCTATTTAGATTTTATATCTGAAATATTACTTTTTAGGTGGAACAATCCTTTAAAAAGGAGAAGTATTGGGAGAGTAAAATGAATTCTTCACAATGGTTAGAGCCGGCGTGTGACACATCGGCATATAGACTGAGTACTGTGCGATGGCAAACCGCTGATGGCTTCTGCCTGGCGAGAGCTGTGACTGTCAGTTACCAGGGATTCCCTCCCTCTGTTCCTCCAGTAGTGGATCCCAACAATATTGTCAGGATCTTTCCGGGCTGCAGCACGGCTCTGCCCTGTCAGCAAATCGTGGCAGTATATGCTGACTTTAGGTCACAGGAGTAAATTAGTAAATGTACTCCTTTGACCAAAACCAAGAAGAGGTTTGGCTATAGTTCTCTTATTAATTTACACCTATGCGTAGGTTTGTATTTTAGCTTGCTACATTTTCAGTTGAAAACAATGCAAACTCAAAAGCATGTTGTGTCTTGTGTGTTTGGAATGCATTTCACTGTTCACTGACTCCTGTTGACATGAATATTGAAATTAATATGTGCCTGTGTGTCCTCCACTCAAGTTGATTTTAAAATAGAGCAAAAAAACAAAAACACGCAGTTAAACTAGTGCAGTCATATCAATATTTTAATGCATTTTATTACCATAAGTGACATTAATAAGACCTAAAAAAAATAAATGCCACTCACCACTTCATCAGCTGTAAAGTCAATGAATCCAGGTAGAATCAAAAAGTCACTAAAATGAAAAAAAAAAAAAAAATCACTATCAGAGCAGAAAAATAGCACTGAATACTTACATCAAACAGAACAAATACCAGGAAAAACATTTGCCTTTGGGGGGAAAAAAATACAATATATAATCTGTTTTAATGTGACGGGTGATATCAGATGTGTGGCAGCGGTATGGCCGCACAGTACCTTAATCTGTTACAGTGCAAGGCACCCTTGTCATTAAATAGCCACAAATGACATTTCATTCATTACTAAGCAAGTGATACATGCTTATTCAGGATAAGGGATAGTGTTTTACACACACAAAAATGTAAGAATTTATATATGCATATGTCATAGCAAATTAAAGCCCATTTTGTCCTTTAAAAAAACAGTATATAATATGTGTAGATGCAATGAATGAGGAAGATAGAAATTATGGTTAAACAAACACAGCAAAAATGGCAAAATTGTTCCGGTCCCTAGGAACAAAACCATTACGGTTACATTTCTATAGGATATTGGGAAGGCTACAAAATTCACATTTTATAATCCCATATTTACTCATCACTAATGTCTGCATTGAGCTAAAATCCCCTTAAGCTTGCAAAGCTACAGTGGACAAATGGGACTCGGCACTGGTCCTTCTCTCCAAGGTTTCCCTATGCCCATCACAAAAATCTTATTCAAATCTTTATTATTATTATTATTATTATTATTATTATAATATAGGACTTATCACACTTAGGAAAAGCAATTTTTGAGCTCCCCTAGATGTCGCGTCAGCCAAGGACATACGCCACATGCTATGAAGATGTCCTTGCGTCTCTGCTCGTCTCCCAGCCAAGAATCGGAACTGCGCATGCGCCCGCCCCAAGATCCTTTGCGGCCGTACGAGCAGTTCCTGATTCTACAAAAATAGAACCTTCAACAACCATTTTACACAAAATCTAGAAGTCTGACCCGATCCATTTAACAAGCTGATACTGTCGTTTGTTCGCCACAAATGTGCTAGTTTCCAATCTACAGGGAAAGTAGCCATTTTGTTTTGTTAATATTCCTAATAATTGACCTATCTCAGGCCAGCCACATCTCTATGCCATGAAGCCTTTCACCCCACTGTGGTATCTCTCTAGTTCTAAAGGTAATACATGCGATCACTTCACAAAATAGAGACAGCCATAGTTTTAGGAAAGAGGAACTTTATCTAATTTGAACACTAAAATTAGACTTGGTAGCATACAACTCAAAAATCAGAACACTTCCCTATCATTTCCCCATCAGATTGGAGCGGCTTCATGTAGCAGAAAGAGAACAATACAGTTCAAAAGACAGATGCTGAGTGCATGTTTGCTGCTAATGCTACAAAAGATAATCTCCTTAGAGCTAAAAACTAGAGCACATACAAAATGGAGCATCAAATCTCACCTGAATCCCTCATAAAAACAGCACTTATGAGAGGAAGCAGCATATCACTCACTAACGTTGTTTATTTAGAGCAGCTATACGCAGACAGCTAAATGAACACCAACCAAGGGCCTTAAAGTAGATTTTCACAAGCCTGAAACAGCTGTATGCAAGTTGGAAATACTGGTTTTGTAAAATTATATTATCTTTACTAAGAATAATTATTATACTACAGTCACGCTCCACAGCCCCCCCAACCCCAAATCGCCCCGCCCCATTTACCAATATCCTCCTGTGTTTCCCGCTATATGCTTGCACAGCAGAGCTGCAACCAGGAAATATCCAAATATTGTTGGAATCCACCCCACTGCCTGATTGACAGCTGGCTCTGCTATTGGAAAGTGAAATAACCAATAGCAGGCTGGCTATTACACCAGCACACTGCCTGCTGTGTTTACATTCAGTTGTTGGCTGTGGAATCTTGTCACTGGCAGTGGTCATTCCCCAGCTGAAGCTATTCAAGTGTGATGTTGTAGTGATAAAATGGGAGTGTTTTATATAAAATTTATATAAGCACCGTGCACTTGCAGTATCTGCAGAGCCTCAGATGCGTTGGCTGCCTCTGATCCCTTCCAGTGTCTTACTATTGTAAGTTTAGCCGCTAGGAGGATATGGATTATAATAGCTCTAAAGGTTATTGGGATACTGTTCTAAACCTACGTGAAGGAGAGCCAAGGTGGGTGTGGGGGCTATAGAGAGGCCCGTCACGGCTGACAGTATCTGGAAGATCTTCTTCCAAAAACTAGTGGGGGATTTGCAGGACCAGTAGGTGTGCATTAACGTGCCCGTGAGTCCGCAGCCCCTCCAGCACATCGCCGAGGAAGATGGGGACATTTTAGCTAAACGGGAAGGAGTCAGATACCATTTTCTACAGATCTAGAGGCTCTCGTTTAGTTATTTTAATGCTTGGAGTTTTTTGTCATTTAAAAATTTCAATTCCATGAAACCAATTACAATGTGTAATATAAAATACATAAAATCATTTTAAAGAATTGCCGTGTGATTGCAAAAAACTGTGTGTGCAGTTTTATTCTGAAGTAAACTTTAGGTTTGCAACACTCCATTTGTGTATTTTAAATTAAAGATTGTATTTATTTATTTTTTATCCGATTAAATAAAAACAAAATTATTATTACTGATTAGAAAATATTCGTTAGTCGCAACCCTAGAAATCACATTATACTAAACGTTTTGGTGCACAATTTTGCAAACGAGCAAGGCGCGCATGCTATTAGAGTGAATTGCACCAAAGTGCAACCAAACTAAAGACAGGTTTACGGCAATAATCATCATGAATTTCTCATGTGTTCTTGCATTGCTCAGGTGCTAAAGTATATATACAAAGCAGCTGCATGAATAGGCAAATCAAAGTGGTAGCCGTTACACAAATAGGTTTAACAGAAGCAGTTGGAAGCATAGTTTTTACATTCTTCTATGTTCTTTACTGACTTTTAATAGCGTTTTGCTTTTACATTTGGGACGATGGTGTAAAAAATGCAGATGTGTGGAATCACAATTTAAAGAAAAAAAAAAAAATCAAAAATCGCTGCAGAACAAGAAATAAGTGAATTGTAATAGTGGGAGGCAGATTTAATCTACTTGGAAAGGTCCTTGAAACAAGTGAATCAAATGCTGCCTGAGAACACAATGTACAAAAACATGCATTGCAATTACTTGAAAACACAAGCCATAAGAACAAAGCTGCAAGAAAAAAAACAAAAAAACACAACCAGAAAAGCAGATGGCCTTTACCCAGCTGGCTGCCAATGCTAGATGCTGACTAATCTCTAAATATACTCACCAACGCAATAAAACGCCATCAGCGGCTAAAAGCTAAATGATTTCTGCAGGCCACAGTTTTAGTCCAAACACGATGGATGTCTTTAATAAGTATATTACAATGAAAATACCAGTGTCCCTAAAACGGTGTTTGTAAACCAGAATCAGAGGGTCTATTTGGAAAGTATGACCACAGCAAAACTAATTTCCTGAATCAATGCTGCAATACATCAAATTGTATTCCAACTACATTTCTACAAGGAGCAATCTGAGTATATGGTACCCTTACAGTGGTATTCAGATCCTTGACCAACTCTCCAAAACATTTACTGAAAAATGCTCGGAGGTTTTTTTTCCAAAACCATTTTAGCTTATTTTTAAACAAAATGATTTAAGATCACAAAAAACAAAAAACTAAGAATAGGCTTAAAGAAGAAATCTGGGCAGACATTTATTAACCCTTGCCGTGGAACTACCCCTGCATTGCAAGGGTTAAGTGCTAATTTTTGCCTAGAGGGAAAAAAAAAAGGGAAGGAAGAAATGTATACTTCCACAATCCTTGGAAACGTTTCCTCCAGCCAGTCTCATCCTGCACTGCAGCAATGGTATAAACTAAGATTAGGCTTAAAGAACAACTCCGGGCAGAAATGTTAAACCTTGCCGTGGGGCTACCCCCGCATTGCAAGGGGTTAAGTGCTCATTTTGACTAGTGGGAACATTTTTTTAGTATGTGTATCTGATATATATATATATAGATATATCTATATATAGATATATATCTATATATTACACATACATACATACATACATACATAATCCTTGGAGCCAGCACCCCATCTTCTGCTCCACTGCAGCGATGGTATATCCATTGGCGTCCTCGCATCCTTACACTGTATTGGACGTGATGGCTCGAGGATTCCTAGACTGCTGCAGCAGAGGGGGAGAGACACCCCAGGGACCAGTCCAAGAGCCATCCAACTCGGAGGATCAGGTGAGTAAAACCTTTTTTTTTTACCCTAGGCAAAAACAAGCACTTAACCCTTGCAATGTGGGGGTAGCCCCACTGCAAGGGTGAATACAAATTTCTTCCCAGAGTTTTTCTTCAAACAGGCTCTTTGCACAAGCTTTTAAAGTAGATGCACAAGAAGCACTGAAGCATTGCTTGACAATATGAAAAACACCATTGATGCCATCTCTGCTTTTTTCCCCCATTGACATGATGCAACAGCCACCCTGTTGGTCAAGTTGCTAAGTCTTCCAGCACTGTCTCCACTCTCCAGCCTCTTCTGCAAATAATGTAAGAGTCCCTAGTGAGATCTAGGCCAAAGGAAATACATAACAGGGTGCAGCAAAGAGCACCTGTGGGTGACTTTACATGATGCTGACTTGCTAAAGGAGTTGAGAATCTTCACTCACAGTGAAGGCTGACTTCAATTATTTGATCATGTGTAGTTAAAATAAATAGGAATTTGCTATACATGACTGAATAAAAGTGAATCTTGACACAAATTGAGAGAAGATTATCAAGTCCTTCAGTAATTCAGCCTCAATGGACTTGCATGTCAAAGTCAATATTTGCATAGAGCTCGTGGTGCCGATTATCACACATCCAAACGCAGTAATGGAATTCTGGTATCATGGGTAAACTTGGACGTTTGCAAAATTGAAAAGAAAAAAAAAAATCCAATAAAAATATTGACTTACAATTGACTTCCACCAGTCATTAAAAACTCAGAGGATCAACGTAATGTCTCCCAAAACCATTCGTTCTAAAGCCTG